TGGAAAAATACATAAACTCTGCTCAAAACCTCAGGGTTTTTGTGTGTCTTTCAAACTCCTGATCTGCTTTTAATTACAAAATGGCAGTGGAAGGTATGAATATGCTGCCATGAAGACCTAAAAAGGAGGAATACAGAAAGCTATCTTTGCTACCAATACATTATTAAATTCTTTTCTTTGACATCCTGACAGTAATTGCACTGAATGGGATTGAATTTTGTTAAAATTACTTTAAAAGGGTTGTTGAGAATTTCCTGTGGGATGCAGTGGCAAGCACCAAGGCTTTCACTTCATTTTCTCTGTTGTCCTTACACTCCCAAGGGGCTTATTGTTCATCCTGCTTTTTGACAGCATGAAGGCCTGTGTAAACACCCTCTGAAAAGAGAAAGCTTCACCAGATACTGCCATTTGGGTTTGTTTTCCTCTGTCAGAGGGAAAGATAAATATTCCTACCTGATTCACAGCTGAGCTTGTTGCAAGTATATTTTTAGCAACCAACCAGCTCTTCTGATAGAAGAAATGAAACACAAATGATTACATGAAATTATATATAGAATACTGACATTTTTTTTTCAGCAAACGGCCAAGGAGTTCTGAACCCTGGACACCCTGCACCAAAAATGTAGCTCCTGCACTCAGGAACTTGCAGTCTTCATCCATCATAGTAGATGAAATATTTATAACTTAAAATACATCTATGCAGTCAAAAATGAGTGCCGGGTTTTTTTAACCTCTTTAAATAAAATGAGGTTTCTTGAAGTTTTTTAATTTTAGGCTGTTCACACATCAGTGCCTCTTAACAGAAGCATTTCCATTGAGCTCTGGGTCCCAGCTCTTGTCCTTTTCTGCCATGCCAAGTCTTGATTGTAAGTCATGAAGCTTACCAAGTAATATTCATCAAATAACGTAAGCAAATTTCATGCAACTTACTTCATCTTGCTTTTTTTCATCCTGAGTTACAGAACAGGGTAAGTCATCTATATTATTCCCTGAATAATGCAGACAAAACCAATGATTCTTTGTAATAAAACAGTCAGTGAACACTTTTAAATGTCCTGCCCCATTCAATGTGAACGATGAAAGCATTTGGAGACAGGCAAACAGTAGACTGCTTTCTGGCCTAGGATTCCGCAGTTTGTTTCACACACAGTGAATGCGAACGCCCACAGATCACCACGTAGATGAAAGTGCTGTTATTTTTACCTGCTGTAAAAATAACAACAACAACAAAAACAGAACATTGCCATTTCATCCAGGGTGAGAATGAATCAGGCTTCTGCATTATTTTTTCCCCCTCTTCAGTTGCCGATTGAGAAGTCTGTTTTTAGAGTTGCCACAGTCAAAAGCCTGGGATGCTGAAGGACAACTCCTGGGGTAACCATTATTCTTTCTCCCTCTCTTGCTCGCAGAGAGCCAGGAGAATAAATCTGGATCACACCACCAGTGTTTTTACTGCATCTCTACACTGCTCTAAATACTCTGTTTGCAGAATAAGCCAAGACATTGAATGGTTAAGCTAGAGAAAATACTTGTGGATATAATGCCTGTTATTCTGTCAGATTTTATCAGTTTAAGCAGAATTGGACCTGCTCATTACCAGGGCAGAAGACTCCCAAGAACAAACTCTGTGCTGCGCTGTGATTTGAGAAACAGAGTGTATGGAGTACACTGCCTTTGGGGTAAGGATTAATCCAACACCACAGGGCTGAACAGACAGAAATCAGCTGCCAGATGCAGCAGAGCATGTCAGTATTTCCAGGGCTGCTTCCTCGCTCCACTCACGAAGGTCCCTCTTCAGTCTCTGTGAGCTGTACTTACGTTCACAGAGACAGCAGAGAGAAAGAGGGGGTGAGGACCAAAACTGCTGTGAGCACGCAGCATCTATACAGAAACTTGGGCTCCTCAGGCTCTGGATCGCAAAGCCTTGCCTTCTTCCCACCACAGTAGCCTGTTGAGTCTAGCTTGTATCTAATGAACAACCTATTTTTGTACAAAATGTGGACTTAAATCCTCTCTGAAAAAGAAGAGAATCAAAGCCAAATCTACCAACACCCCGTAGGCGCTTCAGCCACTATGCAGAGGGCAGATTTTTCAGGGAGAGGAACTGCTACTGAACTCAATACTGCTGTTAAAAGCTAAATGCATTCATCATGATCCTGCCAGGTTTTCCTCTGCCCATCTCAGAACTTCTGACCTTTTTTCCTTCCTCTCTCTCTGTATATACTGGATATCAATTGGTCCTTTAAAGCAGTAAGTGGACTTCTTCCTTTTCCATGCCCCAAACCGTGGGGTTAACAATTTAAAGAGGTCAGTAGTTTAGCTGCTGATAGAGAACCTGCAGAATAGACCTGGTGGCTGCTCAAGTATTTGTATCACAGTGGAACCAGAAATTTTAAGATCTCAGTACACCTGAGGTTCTATGCGCACGTAGCACCTATCCCTAATGGATCACAGGGAACATGCAGAGAGATCCAAGACAAAAAAAGCAGTTTTCAGAGTGCATGGAGTTCCACCAAGCCAGATGCACCCAACAGCGTTGCACAGTGGTAGGCAGCTCAGCAGACAGCTGGGCACAGCTGGAGGAGCCAGCTGTGAGCTGCCTTCAGGCAGTCTGCCAGCTGCCTGCACAGCAGCCCTGTGGACGGGTGTACAACAGCTCTCCATCTTCTACAGAGTCAGTGCTGCCAAGGAAATCAAGACCCAGATCCTCAAAAGTATTCAGGTGTCAAGCTCCTACGATGTGCCGATGGGGCCTACACAACTTGCTCTGCATCATATGGGAAGTATGTGGGAGTCCAGACTTAACACCAGTTGGCCCAAATTTAGAAAGCAGAGCCTCCTTCTTAGACCATACCCTATAAATACACCTAAGAACAGAAGAGGAGACATACTGGCTCAGACCAAAAGCCCACGCGGCCCACCATCCTCCTGTCTCCATTGCTGCCAAGAGCACGTAAGTGGAGAAACAGAGCGGCAGTCACGTGTGATACCTCCACCTGCACTCTCCCAGCCTCTACCACTTGCTGCTCAGTGACTTCAGGCAGAGGTAGCTAGTCCCTCTGCAGACTTCTCTCTGATGAACTTGTCCTGTTTACCCTGAGCCCAGTAAAACTTTTAACTCCACAGCATACTCCTAGAAGGAGATCCACATCCTGCTTATACACCAATTGAACAAAGGTCCTAAAGAAAGAAGGTGACTTATTGCAACAGCTCTGGATCTCTCCTGAGAAAACACTGTGAGATGAACTGAATAGTTGCATACTCTGCATTGTACTTTACAGTCTTCAAACTTGTGAGGTCTTGTTGAGGCAATATAACAATGGAAAGAGCAGAGAAGCAGAAGCAAGGGACTTCCGTGGTCCCATTCAGGCTTTATGCCAGCTGTGTCACTGTGAGGCTTTGGGCAAATCAGTTCATCCCCCTATACCACTGTATTTCCACCAGTAAAACAACAGACACAACCACCTCCTCAAAGAAAGAGGGAAATGATTCGTTAGTTAATGCTGGTACAGTGCTTACAGAGTAGAGGTAAAACAGTGCTACTTTAAGAGTCCTACTTTTGCAAAGCACAGGCTTATCTTTAAGGACATGGAGTCAGCATGGCTCCCGTGTGCTCACCTGAAGCTACACACTTACTTAAGTGCTTTCTGCAGATACTTTCTAATGTCTCAAATATAAGCATCTAAACAATATCATGAAGATTAGCCAAAACATCTGTCAGGAATATGTTATTATAAGCAAGCCTCCCTACTATACAAATACATGCCAAAATACCACTTAGATGCTCTGTGATAAATTTTACCAGAGAGGATTTTTAAGATTACCTGTGAACTACTCCTGCCCGGTGAAGATGTTCAACTGCCAGGATAAGCTGCCGGATATATTTGCGCGCTTCGTGTTCCTCAAGTCTTTTTTTCTCATAGATCTTGTGCATCAAGTTGCCACCAGGGCACAGCTCCATGACAAGGTAGTAGCTGTTTTCAGTTTCCAGTATATCCAGCAGCTGAGCAATATTCGGGTGGCGGATCATTTGCTGGATCTGCCCTTCCCGTCGCAGATTCTTGGTGACATACGTGTCCTTTTTGGCTCTTTTCTTGTCAATTACTTTCACTGCCACCTAATGAAAAAACAGAGGAGAGGGTTGTTAGCAGTCACACTGATGATTTATTGTTTTAACCTTTTATTTAAAAAAAAAAAAAAAAAAATTCAAAAGGGTGTCAGTCTCAACTGATACACCATGGTTTCAGGCACAACTGCCCAAGTCAGAGAAACAGCTGTTTTTCCAACCCTCTGACAATTTCTTTCTTTATTGCCTTTTATGATGTCAGACAAAAGTTATTTTGAGGAAATAGGTAATGAAGGAGAGAAGACAATCTCACTAACCATAACCAAACACTTAGCAAACTTAATGCTGGGCATTTATTTTATCTATTTTCCCAGAAAGTCTTCAGGCTGGCATTTACAAGTTTTAAGTGTCATTTCTGGCTCTTCCTGGCTTTGGATATATGACTTGAGATGATATGCTTCCATGACAAGTTTCGTAAACTATAGCCAAGTGTTAGTTTTACATGATTAAACAGAATAAAAAGATACTATGAAAAACAAAGTCATTTTGGTACCACTCTCTTGGCACATTTCTTTTTCCTCTTTTAAAATGTGCATGAAAGATGATCCCCTTTTGACTTCTAGAACTGTGCAACTCTGCAAAATCCAAGACAAAACTTTTTTTTTTTTTTTTAATGGAAGTTCTCAGTGGCACACCTGCTCACAGCTGTCCAAGTCAACTCAAGCCCATCATGAAAGTATATAATAAAACTAAGGAGACTCTGTACCGCAATCTACAGCACAGCACGTGTTAGCGCCTATCCGAGTACTTTCCTTCTCATTGCTGGTGTGGAATGCAACATGACAACAAAAGAATGGGACTGGCTGGGACATCACTCTGTTCTACACCTAAAGAACCTGGTTCCTTTTACTGTTTTAATGGATTTGCTAAATAGCCACAATAAAAGTATCTCCCTTTTTTGCCTCAAAGTTATAGACACTTATTAACTTATTGAGATTTCTTATTTAGACTGGGTGCTGCAGACTTCCAGGTCATGTGCACCAGACAGAGATTTAACAGTTTGTGCCAGGCTGAGTAACAAAAGGCATTATGAAATCCTCCTCCCCAGCTCCTCATTTCCTCGGAGCTTTGCAACAAAGGAAATCTTTCAGCACACGCACCCAGACCCTGCAGCTCACCATCATTACCCAAGTGACAGCTGCTTGTTTGTCAGGATGACAGCAGGGGAAACATGATGGTTGGTATTCCTGTGTGACACTGAATTTTACAGGATGCAAAAGGGTCGTGTTTGCCTGGGTACAGGTCCAACAAAACACATAGAAAATGCCACATCTGCCCCCTGCCACCCCCCCAACAGAGGCACAAAGATGCTGCATCTGCATCTTTGCCATCTGCCTTGATTTGGCTCCAGAGGATCTCCCACATTACCTTACTCCTACAAGGAGAAGGAATAACAAATGTGGGGAAAACCTGTATTTACCCCAGCCTTAACACCCAGACAATAGCAGAAGCCCAGGAGGCTTCCCTCCATCTCCAACTCATACAGCACCTCTTGATGGCTGACAAACTAACTACTCACAGCAAACTCACTTTCAACTATGGCCAACTACATCATGACAATCCACAGCACTGCGGGCTGGTGGGCTTCGGCAACAGGGAGACAAACTTACTCAAAACATATCTGGCCGCCTTCCTAGCTTGAGAAAGTGCCAAGCACACATCAAGCACATGACAGCTCCCAGTCTGATTAGCCTTACCTTTATTTCTTCTGCAAGCAAAAGAAAGGTTAAACTAGCGAACACTTTGGTTTTCCTTTAGAAAATAAAATCCACCAAAAAAATGGTCTGGAAATATGACAACAAAAATAGATCCATACCCTTTGACATAAATGCCTTGAATCAAAGTCAAGTTTTATCAGCAGATGAACAGAAGAATAAAACTACAGGAGTTGTGGCTTCATAGTCTGTCCTAAAAGCCAGAAGTCAGTATCGCTGAGCAAGTTATTAGCTGGGTACGCTTCTGCTGCTAGAAGATCATTCTGATGAAATACCACTGATAAAGAGAGAAGATTGCACACCACACACAAGACAGCTGCCTGGGTGAAACCCAGAGCAGCATCAAGACAATGAACGCCTGGAAGCTACATTCCTGACTAGTCACATTAAAGAAAGATCATTTAGTCGTAAGATAAAACAACAGGTAAATCATAGCTTAACTTCACCATTTTTGAAAGCCTCAGGTGATTCACCAAGGAAACAATCTTAAATTAGTACATTCTTCCATCTAATGAGATAGAACTAAGAAAACAGAGGCTTGCATGGATTATGCAGACAGCAAACCACAGAAGTTATTCTGGTGAGGACAAACAAATTCATGGGTTACAGAAACATGAGATGCCAGATTGTTTGCTGGCAGCACAACACAATCTCTGCAAAAACTTAAAAAAAAAAAAGTTGGCATTTTCCACAGCTGCAGGATACAAAACATGGAGCTTAACAGTATGGAGCAGTAATCTGTTATCCATATTGGTAAGTAGTTGACCAAAAAAAAGCACATTACTACACGTGTGCACATCTGCCGCCCAGGCTGAGCATGGCTGTTGAGATGAGGGCAACCACTTGAACGCAGGAGTCAGAGCCAACTATATGACTACTTGATAACTTTTTCACTACCACCAAGGATTAGCTTTCTGTGTCTTGATTTTCTCCTTGATTTTGACAAATACTTGGTCAGGCACACTGCCTATCCCATCAGACAAGCAAAGCTGCTTTCAGACCCACCCTTGACTCTGAGTTACCTTTCCCCCTTCAAGGCCCCTTGCATTGGGTCCAAGAGATCCACTAGCACAGCTGACAGAGCTGACAACGGTGGAAACAATAGTTTTGTTTCGGCAGCAGCTTTGCACAGGGGAAAGAGAAGAACGAAACACCAGGCAAGGCTATGGCGGACTTGCATCTCCCACATCAGGCAGCAAACTGGCTTCGGTGCGGTATTGTGTGCTCCCAGGACAGGTGTGTGTGGGACTCTGCGTCCTCTCCTAGGTCCGTGCTGCAGCACAGGGCACCCTGGAAATGTCTCAGACAGATGCCCCCACTTGTTGTCTCAGGGACTATTCAAAAGCCAGGGTCTTTAAAGAAACCTCTATATATCTAAAGAAAAAAAAAATGTAGCTGACCCAAACACACAAGCAGCCTATCAGCTTTCATATGGATGTTCTCCATAACAGCTTCTAGCTTTTGCTCACTCCCCTCTGTTCCTTCCGGGTCTTCTCCCTTACTACTCCTTTCACTTATTCTCCTGTCCTCCTAGTCAACGCCCTTTTCCTTGCACTGCAGTTATTTTTGCTTTTGCTTTCTTGTAGGATCACTTTGCTTCCCTAAATGAAACGCATCCCATGGCACAAGGGTTGTGCAAAGGGGTCAGCACTCTCAGGCAGAGCTCCTGTGGGGTTTTTTTGCTTGTTTGGGTTTCTTGATTTTCCGCCAATTTACAGTTTACTCTGAAGCATACAGAGGAAATCTAGGGATCAAACTCTTTTACTCTACGGCTGACTTAGCTTCTAAATATCCCTAATTTTGAGTTCATCCAGAGTTAGACCAAGGTTAAGTGAAGACCGAATGTGGCCTGATACATTTAATACACACAGCCTCCTGTACAGTGTAGATGTGTGTGCATATACCTGAAAATTTCATTCATGCAGAAGGAAAAAGCATTCAGCAGAGAAAATACTGCAGATGTTAGATAACCATAAAGTAAACACATTCGAGCTTTCATAGCCTACTCAAGACATGCCAATTATTCAGTTTTGCTCTCCCCAGTTTCAAGTAGAGGCTCTTTGTCTCTGCATCATGCCTATTTCCTGATTTGAATTCTTGGCCAATATTGGCACAGAAATAAAAAAATAAATGATAAAGCAAGTAATTACTGTGAATGTGTAGCAACAGTGGCTCTTGACATTCAACACTTTGCTTTTGGCTAAACCTTTGCTGTGTAAATAAATAAACGGTTTAGGTTATTCTGTGTTGTGAGATACAAAGATGAGTAATAGGCCGTATTTTTGGTTCCTGAGTCCTAGAATTATACTGTTGGAATGAATTACTTTCCTGAAGTTTATGGTGTGACACATCATATGAGCAATTGCTGCTTCTCTCGATCGTCGCACTAAAATAGTTCAGGTTGGGCTAAAGCGTACTGAAGTGGAGGTGAGGGGGAAGTGCAAGCACCACTCTTCACAGATTCTTGGAGGAGGCAGTGACATTGCTTACAGAATGAAGCAGCTAGAACACCATCAGCAAATACAGGCACGTGTCATCACCCAAACAAAGGCATGCATTGGTCACGCATGGGTGGAGGATTTTTGCCAGCTACTGTCTTAGGAGGGTTTGCGAATCTGCAAGAGAGAGGCAGGGGGGTGGGGTGTGTGTCCATGGAGCTGACTAGCACGAAACTGCACAAAAACAGTCACAGCAAGGCCCTGAGAAAAAGCAAGAAGAGACAGTTTAAAGGACCAAACGTTGCCTGGAGAAGTCTGGGAGCCAGAGCTTTGGTTGCTAGATCACCGCTGCGTCCAGAGAAAACACATTTTGCATCCTCTCTGTAAACAGTCATGCCTCAATACATGAAATTGCAACAAAGCATGGAAGGTGGCTCAAACACATCCTAAGGACGCCCCGCGTAGCATCTGTATGTCTATGCGAGAGGCACATTTTACATCGGGCAGCTCCCCAGATCAGCGCCCTGACAGCACGCCAAGCCCATGAAGCCGGTGACTGATCTGCTGCACCAGGCAGGAGGAACCTCCAGGTGCTCAGTGGACAGAAGTCAAAGTCATCTTCTCCCCCTCACCTTCTGCTGCCTATTTATAACCCTGCCAGTAACACTTGGAAAAATCATGGGTCAAGAAGTAGTGCTTTTGTTACCGAGGGAAAGCTGTTTGCCTACCCAGTGGACATGCAAAGGTCTATTTAGATCACTGCCTGACTGCTCTGCAGCAGTGATATTTTCATCAGGCTGCGGCTCAGTCTTACCGAGATTTTTTTTTTCTTCAGACC